GTCTTTTTCCTTAGTCTCTGTTTCCTCTGTGCTTTTCTTAATGGAGTTGCTGTATTAGATACAGCAGCACAAGGAACACAGAACAGCCCACTGTTAGAAAAACCCTACCAGCTAGTGCAATTCCTTTCTAATCCTTTCACTAGTGATTTTTTTTTTTTTTTAGTTGAAGATGATAAAACTAAACTTTAGAGTTCATGGGTAATCTCTGCAAGTCATTTTGCAGCAATTAAGTGTTCCAATTGATGTGAAACATTCTATCAATGCTAATAAACCAGCATTCACCTCCCTTCTACCCATGCCCCTTTCAAAGCCTAATACACAATGAGATTTTTCTGAGACATAACCAAAATAACTGGGCAGGGGGCTGTCAGGGAAGGAGAAGAGTACAGAGAGGTATGAGAAGAAACAACTTGCTAAAAATAGAAAGACTGTTTTCTACTGGTTCAGCAAAGCAGTACATTATTAGTTTTGGAATTTTTGACATGGTTAAGATAAAGAGTAGCCTTTAAAAGAGCATTAGAGTTTTCTTACAGAAAAAGGTTGATGTGTTCAGCCTATTGCAAAGTGCATTTGCTTGCATTCTTCCTGTGCAGCACAAAGGCAGCATTAATGGAAATGATGAATAGTTTGATGAGCAGGCCAGGTGGCGCAGCAATGGCCTGCAAGACTGCTGAGCTGGAGACAGGTTTTAAAACAAACTTGGGGTTCTTGCTTCCTGGACTGGTTGAAGTTGAACATGTCGAGGAGGTAATGTGATTGATCTCTTTGGAGGAAGATGCCAGCTGGAGAGCTCACAAGCTGCTCCTTCAGGATTCTCCTTAACGATGAATTGATGGCAGCTTCTGAAAGGAGTTACTCACACCGCCCTCTTCCCAGCCATTCAGAGGTAGGGCTCTATCACAGTGGCTGCTAAAAGAAGGAATTGAGAGTTTGAAGGGACAGGAAAAAGGTGTCCCTGGTGAAAGAAAATGCAGGAAGTACATTCCCAAAATGCAGCTATTATTTCTATACTGTTGTAAAATAGATTTTTTTTTTTTTAGGGGCTTATACACACAAATGGTTGTATTCTGTTTGCTTTGGGGTTTTTTATTTGGTTTTGTTTTGTTTTCCTTGTGGGTTTTTTTGTTTCTTTGTTTGCATTTTTTGGGTTTATTTTGTTTTTTTTAAATGACATATGGATCTTTTAAATCCTAGTAAAATAAGAGGAGACCTTTTCATCTGAGGACTTCAATTCATATTATGTTTTAAATCAATTATTTTAAAATTTTTCTACACAAGTGTTCAATTAAAAATATCCTAGATATCCTCAAAATCATGATGAAGAAAAAGACTTGTTTTGTTTTTAGCTTCATAGTCCTTGTAGTTCTTGAATTATATTCCTCCTTTCATTCCTCCCTTCTTCCTCTGATAAGCTATGTATGTGTCCTTTTGAAACTGTCCCTTACTAATTCAGAAACTTTTATTTTTCTGTATACATGACAGCTTGTTACTTTTATCCTGCATAACCAGCAAGTTATGACATTTCCCCTGATGTCAGACAACAGCAATGAAACTTTGTTATTATCAGTACCTCAAGAATTTTAGTCAATGAGTAAATACGTTTTTTTTGACTTGAAATGATCAATATGCACAAAGGATAGAAGGGTAGAAATTGAGTCCCACAGACAAACTGCACACAGTAGGAACAAGCAATCTTCTTTGAGTCTTAGGAATCTCAATCATCCAGATGGAGAAAGTGAAAAAAATAGAAGAAATTTTGGTAACATCTAAAAATGATAACAAACAATAATTTTTCTGATTACACTTGATATATTCAGGACTAAATGTGAGGAGACTAAATAAGGTAGAGCTCATTTTTGTTACTCTAAGGAATTAGTTTTACTGTTAAAAGCCTTTAAAATTTGGTATCTGATAGCTGCAAAAAACTGAACTCCAAACAGTTTGTTACCATAAAGACAGGGGCACAATTTATTTATATCCTACATGTATCGCCTGGTTAATCCTCAACTGTTTAATGTTCTGATCCCCGGGAACATTTTTGGCCATTGCTACTGCAGAAATTACTCCAGCAGAAGCCAGGCTGTTAGGGTGTTCAGGAGAAGAGAAGATCAGTGGCAGCCAGGACTTGGGAAGCGCTTGTTGTCTACAGATGAACCCAAGGGCTGCAGTTTTCATGCAGGGCCTTGTTCTTTTGGTTTATATCTTCCCAGTGCTTAATTTTTAATTTGGTTGTGAATAATGACCCATTGTTCAATATTTAAAGTAGAAAAGGTTTGATTGTGTATGGTGGTGGTTTTTTTTATTTGTTTGTATTTAGATAAATTATTCTGTTCTTCTTCAGGAAATTATTTTGGTGGATTTTACTTTTCAGTAAAACTAATTCATTCTTTGCACACTTTTAAAAACAAAAATGCTACATCCCAAATGGTATATACAGTGTAGAAGGAAACCTCTAGCCTTTAATTATTATTTGAAAGAGCCAGCTTTTGAAGTGTGATCAAGAACTGGAATCAGTTCCCTCTGATCTCAGTTCCCACTAATGCCTGAATGGGAAAATCTTGCTTCTCAACCTTTTACCAGAGAAATAAAAAGTACCAGCGTAAGGCATGCTCAGCACTGTCTGATATTTTGTTCTGTGAGGTGTTCCTCTGCAGCAAGGGGCTGTAGGGTAACTGTGGCAGTGGTACTCTCCACCTGCGACACACCCTCACAGCAGCACCCCACACCGTGTGCGCTCCACAGAGTCCCATCTCGTCACTCCCTTGCAAGTGAGGGGGTTTTGTTTTCCAAAATCATCCTGTTGAGAGCCCAGCAAGCTGGAAACTGTTGAACATATGCCAGTAAAGAATTTATTCCTTATAGTGGGTGGCCAAGTGGACCACTGAAGTGAGTCATTTAGTAGAGTGGAACATGTTTTGTTCCCTGCCATAATCCATCTCAACTTTACAACTTTACTGGTGGCTGGAAACATGATGACATATATATGTTAAAATCTTAAAAATGGATGTACTCACTCTAACTATTACTAAAATTAAATATTGTTCTGCATGTAGAAGCTATGAAAAATATTACACATTAAAAGTTTAAGATTTATTTTTATTTCACATTGATGAGGACAGAAGAAAAACATATCTTTGAAAACCCTGGAATTTGCTTGTGTCTCAGATTGAATTTATCTTAAAATATATTTTGAGAAATCTCACTGGTTACTATTTGTAATTGACAGTTATTGAAAGCATGAATACTTCTTCCTGTGCTGGCCTGCACATCTGTACTGCCCCAGCACTGAGGTCCAGTCAGTGCATTGAAGAAATGTACATTTGCAGGTTTTCTTCCCCACATTCTCACACTCAGGTTTCTTTGGTAGCTTTCTACCTTTTGTACTGCCTTCCAATGCGGTAGGCAGCTTATTCCTCATCACTTTTTTATTTGTTTATTCCTCATCACTTCTCATCACTTCTCTATCAGATACATAGGTAACCCAGAAGGCAGACACTATCATAGCATTCTCCTTGTCAACTTTAATTACTCTAGTTCCTGCATCTGTAAATCTCCTATTTCAAATTTTGGTGTGATCTTTTCTTTCTCTGAGGTAGTCCAATAATGATAAGATTTATGAAGATTACAAATATGTTTTTTTTTTTTAATTCTTGAACAGCCCAATTATGACCTTTAGGGACTTATGTTCTTGGATAATTCTCTGGAACAGAACAAAGTTTGGAAGTTTTGAAATCCTTGGGTTTTACCCACTGCTGTTTCCTGAGGTTATTGCGGTTAGTGCATAGAGCCAGTAGCACCAAGGTTGTGGGTTCAACTCCTGTGTGGGCCATTCAGTTAAGAGCTGTAATTGATGGTCCTTGTGGGTTCCTTCCAACTCAGAATATTCTGTGGTTCTCAGACTAATTAAACTATATGCTTAATTCATTCGGGTATTGGAAAACATTTACTTCAAAAACCCCCGTAGGCAAGAAAACACTTGCCATTCTGTAACAAATCTTGGACCTACAGTAAAAGACCAAAACTGTATTGTATTGATGCAAACAATGTGGATAGATAAAGGGACCTGACAATTTGTATTTTCTTACATTTGTTTACCAACATTTTGAAATCTAAACTTGATGCAGAAAAAAGCATCATCTCTTTTTCCTTTTCTTTCCATCCCATTTCAAAGTTTCTTGGCATCTTAACTGTCCATCCCATCTCCAAAGGTGTAACAAAGGTGATTGATGTAACACCTGAAAATATGCTTAAAATACTCACATTAGGAACTCTGCCCTTTTGAGTAAAGCATGCTTTGAAAGGGCAGTTTACAGTCAAGAAAGAAAAGTTACTCTTCCCTTTAACATTTGATATATTAAAAATACCCAGTACATGTACAGAAAACTTGAACATCATAAATCACTGTAATGTTTCATAAAATCAAATTAATTTCAAAGTCACTTCCAAAAACATAGTAGGTTTTGTTCTGAAGCGGTTTTAATTCCAAAACTGACAAAGCAGTGTAAAGCTACTTCTGTTTCTTGCTGTTCTTGAAAAGTGATTCAGTATAGAAATACGAGAAGAGATTCATGTGAGAGCGCTGTACAGTGCTGAAATGATTCACAGCTTTGTATGTAAACTCAATTTATTATTTGGGAGACTGTCTAGTCTGATTAAAAACTATTAGTCTGGGATATGGCTTTAATTGAATTAGAGTAATATGTTCTTCGAAGAGGAAAGTCACAGTTGTACAATAAGGCTAGAGGAAGATTTGTCTGTCTGAAGGTAATCCTAAATGAGGCTCCTTACTCTCCATTACTATTAAGGGAAAAGAGACTTGTATTAAAGTGTTGGAAGTACAGATACTTCTTAATTTTTCTTTTTAACAACATTTTTGTGTATCAGTTCTAATCAAATGAGAAAGGGAAAAAAATCTGGAAACTGAATGCTTATAGTATATTCTCCTGCTAGTAGTTCAGGTTCTTGTTTTGATAATTTTCTTGACTCCTGTTTTCTTTAAGGTCTCATTCGATTACAAGAGCTCATCAAGGCTCCATCACGATACAACCTAAGACTAAAAATCCGTCAGTTACCGGCTGACACAAAAGATGCAAAGCCATTGCTAAAGGAGATGAAAAGAGGCAAAGAATTCCACGTAATCTTTGACTGCAGCCATGAAATGGCAGCAGGCATCTTGAAACAGGTAATCCTCATTCTGCTGTAGATGTCTTAATCTTTTTCATCCCTAATAAATAAAAGTATTATCCAGACCTAATGGTATTTAACAAGCAGAGAAATTGTGTGTCAGTTTTACTCAGGCCTTACTGAAAACCAGCCAAGGATTTCAGAGACAATTTTATTGGTGACACAAAAGGTAGGTGCTTTAATTATGCTTTTATAATGAAAGAGTTTAAATAATTTATGTTCAAGAGGAACATGAAGACATATTAATCTTTCAACTATGAAGAACCGGTACTTTGGAGAATTGATGCTTAACACATGGTTATAAATGCTTGATTAACATTATTTTATACATCAAATCTTTATGTGTATAGGTATGTATGTATTTATATGTTTGTTTTTATTTGAGGCCTCTAGGATGTGTATTCCTAAACAGAGACTGATATCTGAACAGTATGTTACCAAAAGACCACTTTAATGTCTTCCATTGAGAGGACAGAATTGATATTTTATGGCCATATTCTCTTTGCACTAATAATGGAACAAGTACATTTGGGTTGATGCTTTGAAAATAATGTGTACAGATGAAATGAGTAAGTGAGATACAGCAAAATTCCAAATATTTAACTGGCTCAGAGACAATCTTCCCCATAGTTTTTTAGTTAAGCTATGACTTCCAATAAAGAGGATAGGAGGATTACCTAAACTGAAACACTATTCTACACTCCTAATGCATAGCTTTTAGTGACGTTAATTCAAGCTTATTCTATGTTTGCTAGAAAACTGTAGGGTCTAAATTGAAAACAAAATGTATTTAAGAGTTGGAAATATTTGTCTCATTAGAGATACTTACAGGTATTATTGTGGGTATGTAGTAGATAGAGTTAGGCGCTTGGACAATCTCGCGATGTCACGGAAAGCAGTAGAATTCCTCTCCCCCTAATGCCTAGTGATAAGAGATCACCCAAGAATGTAATCCCCCCTAACATTAGTAACTTTCGACTCCTTATTAACCAATTACAGTAAAGTAAGACCCCTGATGTAGAGAAAAAACCTTGCCGAGTATAAAACCCGACGAGACGAGACAATAGAAGCCTTAGACCGTCCACCATACTAGTGCTAGCGTGTGTTCTTAGCCCGAGTGACCCTAGAAAGTTTAAGTCGCCGTGCCGTTTCCTCAGAACCAAGTCGCCTTGCCTTGCATCAGAAGGCAACATGGGTATAATTAAAATTGCTAGTACGTCTACATGTATAATATAATTTCTTTTCTTTATTGTTCATTGATTGAAAAACTTTTATTAGTTCCTAGTAATTTTAAACCTCTGCTAGTGCTTTTTTGTAAACATAAGCTAGCCTAGTTATTCTAGCTGTTTCGACCAAATCATTGAATGTACATTTAATTATTCTAAATATTTAAAATCTAAACAATGCAAAAGGGAAATGCGTTGATGGCAATATTAAGCTGCAATACTAACAATAACTCCATTGAGATACATTAGTTATACACGACCTAGAAATTTTTATGTGAAAAATCTCTTTTATTTCACAGTGTACAGCATTGTGAAAAATGGATGACTAGAGGGAAATGGGAACAAATTTAAAACCATTGTATCTTTAATCATGTCCCAGGACTCAAGAGTGAGCATTAAGCCTCTTTAAATCAAATAGTGAACTGTTTCATCAAAGCACACTGCTTATGCTACAGATTACAGAGGGTAGACACAGAAAAAAAGTCTTTCATAAATGTTAAGATCTTTATACAGATTCTGTAGATTTTTACTTTTCCATTCGGGTCCTATACTGCAATGCTCTAAATATGCCCAAAATTTGTAATTTTGAAGCTGAATGTGAGCACTTGCCGTTGAAATTGACTCAAGGGGTGTTGAGAATATATTTATTATTTAATGTTAATATTCCAAATATAGTGTTTATAAGTGATTATTGAAAAAATATTTATATATCTATTTCTGAATTATTGACTGATCAGATTTTTTTCTCTGTTAATGGAGGGATGAGTCTTGGGGGACGTGACAAGGAGTTTCAGTTTGAGAGGATAATTGGAAAGATTAACAGTGGAGCTGGTGGAAGACAACATAAGTTGAAAATAAAGAAAGCAAAGTACCTTGAGAACCTGGTGAAACAGCAATTACACTTTGCTGGCCAAAAATATGTAATGAAAAGTAAAACAAAAAAACCCATCAATCAGACAAACATACTTAAATTGAGGCAAATCTCATTGTTATCTACATCACCAGGCAACCAGGGAAACCATACATAATTTAAAAGGTTAGGGAAGCACTGTAATAATGAGAACTGAGAAATTACAATGTTTGAAGAGGAAAAAGAAGTGAGTTCTTTAGAGAAGTGAGAAGGTGAAAGCAGGAAGTCCTGGAAAAGAGACAGCATCATTGCACAGCAGCATAAGGAACTTGTGTAGGATGTTGTGTAGAGATCCTTTGGAGCATGAAAGACTTGATTAGAAGCAGTTTTGATATAGGTGACTGCAAATGTGATACACATATAGAGGAAGACAATTTGGTTTTGTGAAAAACAAGTTCTTATAAAAGCTAAGAATATTTTTAGATTAGAGTTTCTAATGAAGTTGTAATATTTCTTATGGGAATGTGGTTTTCCTGTGTTTGAGAATTTAATTTCTACTGGAACACTATACTCTAGTTCTAAGTACTGTTGTGGAGTTGTAAATACATTAGTATAGGCATTCTTTGGAAAAGTGGTGCTTTTTCAAAATCTTGTTTAAAATATTATAAAATCTGATTTAAAACTGATGTTTGCATTAGTTTTCAATTTTTTTTAAAAGATCATATAGACTATTAATTTCATAATTTTTTCAGACAATGTTATAAATAAAAGGCTCCCACAGCCTTCAGAATACTGAAAATTCTTTTTAATACAAATTCTGGCATTGTCACAGTAGTATAATTGTGGCCTTCAGTGTCTTTAAGGAGTCCATGTGGTAGCAACATGGCAAAGAATTCTTTTGATACTTCCTGGACAGAAAGAAAATACTAAGACAACTTTTGTGAAGAGCATAAATGCATTTCTGGGGAAAATGCCCTTAGTGAATAAACATCATGAAACATAGTTTTTAATCTACAAATATTTTTTTATGCAGTTGAAAGGAAAGCATGAACTCTTAAAATGCACAATTTATCAAAAACTACTTTGTATTACATAGATGGAAAGAGTGATGAAGGTACTTGAGAGATACCTGAATTTATAAATGATTCTATGAATATTTGCTCATTTTTATTTAAGTAATATCTCTCTTGCTGTTCAGAATTTGGCTTGAGAGAATTTTCTTCCATGGGTGGAAAAATGTTCACATGTATAATATAAGCTTGGGTCCTTCTTCTAAATGCATTCATCAAAATAGAAAAAAAATTCTATTAGGTGATTCATTTTAAAGAAAAGGTTCAATAATGAATGAAAATATTGTCGACTCAAATTATGTGTTGTAACTTAATGTATCCATTAGTATGTAAAAATACAAGCCTCTTTCACATTTACTGTACTAAACAGTCTAATAATATTCTTTCTATCAGAAGATCTGGTTCATAAATTCCTTTAATAGTCAGTAATATTCTCTAACTGCTAAGAAATGACTTGCTTGACCTAATTTTAGCATAATTCCAACCCAATAGTCTCATCTTAGTAGTGTTCTTTTGCAGTGTTTCATTTGCCATGTAAGCGTGATGAAAATGTATTATATGGCCTCAGAAACATTAATCTTTTGTTTATTTTTTTCAAGGCTTTAGCTATGGGGATGATGACAGAATACTATCACTATATCTTTACCACACTGGTAAGTGGCTTGTGAAAACATAGTGATGACATCCAACAAAGACATTACTTTCCTAATTATATTGCTTAACAAAGTGGATAAGGTCTCTCTGGAATGGGGTGTGAGTGCAAGATGTTTTCTTTGCTGAGTTTTCCTACTTTCAGTGAAAAGTCATCAGGACGGTTTAATTATTGTTCAACAGTGTGCCCTGAAAACTGATAGACCTGAAAAAAGCATCTGGCTGTGGCACTTTAAACTATCAAGGAGGGTTAAATGTATAATTCACAATTCATTGTTTTATGCATTTTGTCCTTTCTGTCTTTTAGCTGTTTCTATGTGAAGATTAAGGCATTTTAAAATTTACTCATATATTCCATATTTTTGATTCAACATTTTACAAGGTAGTTCTCTGTCATAGGATTCATGAATAATTTGGTGTGAATCTGAGCAGCATTTTGTTTAACAATTCATATGAGCTTTTTAGGCACATGAATTATGCAATATTCTTTGGTGTCCGCAGTAAATGTAACTTAGAAGGGATTTGATCATTCTTGGATCTATCATTTGAAATAAATTAACATTTAAAATGTAATGCCCTTACAAAACAAACATGTATGTGAAGACCTTTTTCCTGCTCATCACAGCCTAACTAAGAAACAGTTTAAAAGTTGGTAAAATATTATTCTAGAGACTACAGTCTCCAGATTTGTGCACATTTGTCTGTCTTAAATTTGTGTTCAATTTTATCTAATTAGATTACAGTTCATGATGTTTTTTAAAAGAAAAGCATGAGACCAATGTGAGACAGATGTGCCTTGGAAAAACCATACTTGAACTGACCCATGTTTAAAATCACATACATGTTTAAGCTCTTATGAAAATGAATCCTTTGTGGTAGGGTAGGAGTCCACCTCAGAATCACAAATCAGAAGTTCATGTATAGTTTAACATGAAATAGCTAGTTGGATAGAAAGCAAAATAACTTGTGAATTTCAAAGGCACACCCTGAACAAATACCTATCTTATTTTAGAAGGGTAAATTGTTCTGTCACTTATAGATTTAGGATTTCATGCAATAGAATTTCTCTCACTAAATAGATTTCCTGCCATAAAAATGGATTATACGTGTTTTGAAGGTTTTTTTCTTATTTTTAAAAAATTTTGCTATAGATGAAAATGGTTTCTTTGAGTACTCTGCTGTCCTTTGACATTGAATTCTCACTCTTAAAGCTCTTTTTAAAAACCAGAATTTTCTGTCATTCTTATTTACTTATTAGAACATTATATTTTCTGTGGAGACAAGAGTATTATATAGACTTGGAATTATCAACAGGTAATTTACTGTGCACAAACGTATCAGAGATTTTGATTTTGCAATGTAGCTCTGGAACAGCATAAGAATTTAGTTGTTTTTATATATTAATTGCTTCTTACCTGACATGGTGAAAGTCCTGTCAAATAAATTTTCCAGTCACGGTGTTTAAAACAGTCTTCTGTGTAATCTCCTCTTGATTGATTCAGGATGTAATGCACTGGCTCATTAATACACTGACCTGTGTGCATTTGTAGTAAATGCATAATATTGTGTATATTTATTACATTCCAGTATAAACATAAATGTGTTTGGATTAAAATTTACATTGAAGGTTCTGACTTCTTGCACAATAAAAAGTGAGAGAATTTTTTAAAGAGAAAGATGCAGTGTAGTTCTTGTTATGTCAAACATTTCCTTTGCAACAAAATGTTTTATTTCTTTGAAAAGAGGATGTGAAGTTATTTTAAATGAATTTTGAAACCTGCACATCTTAGATATTGTGAATAGGAAAGTAAATCATATTACTAGCTATGGAATTAAAAACGGGTTGTGATTGATAACTGGTTGATATTTTTATGGGCTTTGTGATGTTAGCAATGGGTGTTGTATTTGGATTTTCTGTAGTACAATATTTGATCTTCTTCAGCTCTAGCCAGTAAACAAAATGGATTTAGGCAAGTGTTACACCTAAAGCCAACTGACAGCAAAAATTAAATTAAAAATTAGATTAATGAATACCTATAAAATACAGGGAAAATTTCTATTTTCAATAAATCAAAATTATTTTATAGGGAAAGAATAGATTATGTATAACCTTGATTACAGCTTTTTTTTGCCCCCTGGTCAAAACTTGATCTTAGACCTGATTTTCCTGAAGTCTAGTATTGTTTCTACATTGCTTCTTAGGATTTGATCAAAGCACTAGGATAACCTTGAATTTACTTTCTTGAGCTAAAATTTGATTTGTTTTACTTTTTATTGATTATATTTCCCTCTGTGTACATTTGAGGGCTAACTGTGCACACACAAACACAGATATACTGAAAATATATAAATTGGCAAAAGTTATTCTTGCAAAGATGAATTCCCAACCAAAGAAATGTCCATATTTGGAAGTATTTAGATGACAGTGAAAAAATGATTTTGATTAAATTTAAAGCCATGTACATTTCTGCTTTTCCCAGCTCACCACCACCCCCACTCCCTGCCTACTCTCCTCCACCAATTTATACTCCTAAGATTAACATGTTTAAGTTTCACGGAGAGTGAAAGCTCAAGGAAACTCTTGCCCAGTTTATTTCATTATTTCATGTTTGTTTAATTTCTGGTAAGTTCAAGAACTAGCAATTAATATTAATATCTAGAAATTGAAAATTTCTAGATATTAATTACTGTAACATTTTAGCCTACCCCATAGTAGATACAGTTCTGTAGTTGGACTAACATTTCCTGAAAGTCTGGTCTCCTTCCTCTGAGGATCAGATTACTCCCACCATAAGGGCAGCCATGTTGCTTGTTCACAGACACAGGCCCCCAGAAAAGCAGAACACGTTTCCTGACATAAATAGCACTGAAAAATTACCATGCTCTCATCTGGGGAGATGGTCCAACAATCGAAATAACAATTGCAGTGTATTACAGAATTTATACCATGGTGATTTTTTCAGGACCTGTTTGCCCTGGATGTGGAGCCCTATCGGTACAGTGGTGTTAACATGACTGGATTCAGAATTCTAAACACAGAGAACACCCAGGTGTCATCTATCATTGAGAAGTGGTCTATGGAGCGCTTGCAAGCACCACCGAAGCCTGACTCAGGTTTGCTGGATGGATTTATGACGGTATGAATGCCAGTATTTGGTTCCTTTTTAAAAATATTTGTGAAGCTAAAAAAAAATATTACTTTTTGTTTTTAAAAATGTTTAGAGGTATGTAACCAAATATTATTGTAAACAGGAGTCAGTGAGTAACTGTGATGTTTCTATTAATATTTTGCAGATTGAATACATGATTATATTAATTTATTTTTTCAAAATTACGTGTACTGTATTTTTTTCAAATTATAATGCCGTATTCTAAATATCAGATTCACTAATTTCCCTAATTTGCTGGTGAAATTTTTTTACGAGATCAAAATGAAGCTAATGAAAAATTGTGTCTTTTTCTACATTTTGTGTCTTATTCATTTAAGATTCATTCATTGTAATGTGTAGTTTCTAATGTTTACATGAATCTGGTTTTAAAATATTTTATTAATATTATGAACAGGACCTCATTGCTATGTTTTGTACTTCCTGTTGTTTCAGATTCATCTGATTAATTAACCTGGTTATTTATTTTCATTTTTTCCCTTCCATTTTGCCACTAGTCTTTAGCCTCACTTCAGTTCATAAAAATCTCAACTATATTCCTGGAAACAAAGTTTCATTGTTAGGTTTTGGTGAGTTTCTGCTCATTAGTTGGAACTCAATCTAGAATTATATTGTAAGGAAGGAAATTATTTTAAAAGATATCCTACATTAGGTCTGCTTTAGTCTTTGGATTTGTTGAAAGATTTTCCACTTTGGTTCCTTAGCAATTTAGGTAGTTGGGTCTTGTTTGGCTTTGTTTTTTAATTTTTTGGGAATTTTTTTTGTGGATGTTGTTAGGTGTCTTTTTGTTTGGGTTTTTTTTTAGACTTTTCATCTTCAATGTAAAAAATGGAAAATTCTATTTCTTGAAGACAGATATCTTAGTAATATATCAGATGCCTAGATTGTGTTAACTATTCTGCATAAAACATCTAATCAGCATTTTTTTTCTATTGATAAGATTTAATGATCTTATAGATATTAGGTGCTAAATTGTAATCAACATTTTATTAAGTTTAATTTTTTTCTAGAAAATCACCCTTTTTAGGGAAAATGCTTTTTTAATTTACTTACTGTATATAATGTTTTGAACATGATAATTTGAAACATTTTAAATTTAATTTGTTTGCTCATTTCCTTGCACTGCACTTTAGAAATTGAATCACACAGTAGTTTAAAAGTTATATGGTTCATTTCTCTAAATAATTTCAAAAAAGCAAATGAACCCCCAAAATCTGAAAATTGTGTGAAGCCCACATCTGGTTTATATACAGCTGCTACTTATTACTGTAAGTCATTCCTTCATGCTTCCTTGTTTGCATTAATATGCTCAATTCTTTTTTTTTAACCTTTTTGAATTTAAAATTTGCATAATTTCTTCTCATTCATTGTAATTGTATATTTTATATACTGATCAAAGATGCAACTGATCTCAGACCTTTGGATATTTACCAAGATCAGTAGTGATAGTTATTTTATGAGAACATAGGGCCATGGTGAAAAATAATGGAATAATGAATATTGGAATAGAGTTCTGTGGGCCAGTTGAATGTTTTTCATCTCCTCTGTTGCTGTAAAGAAGATGCTTTTCTCAGAAAACCTTCTGATGTGCAGCAGAACCCGATAATTGCAATTATAGGACTATGTAAGAATAATATTTTACATCATTACTTTGCCTCAGGATAGAAGAGTATAAAAAAGTGCATGAAAAACACAATGGCTTCTCTTCTGGACCTGTAAGAGCCCTGTATGCTCCAAGTGGAACCAAGTGTTGATACAGACTGTGATGAATATTTTATGGTCATTCTTTTTGTTCATTAAGCATTTAAATGTGCTTTGATTACCTGGGTTTTAAACCTGAGAGATGCAGATACTATTTAAATTTTATCTAAAGGTCTAATTATCTTGGCAAACTTTATGAGTTTACAGAGTTTTTTTGATCTGGTCCTTAGATACAAAAAATCATCCCCAGTGTGTCCATTTGGACGGTGTGAAGGAAAGTCAAATCATGATATCATTGCACAATGTTCTTTCTGTGCCCAGAATAAAACATTTCATTGACTTATTATCAGGGAAGTTGTAAAATCATTTGAGTGTATAAAATTTGACTTTCATGTTACTGTTCATGTGTATTTAAAGTCAAAAATGGAGTTGGAAATTAAAGACTCTTCACAGATATTGGTGCTATGGAGTACTCTAACTGATCGGGGCTGGGCTGGACTGGAAATGTTTTATTTTCACTGCTTGATAATGGCTGCAGCTTATCAGAAAAAATTAGCAAGAAGACTGCTTAATGAGAATGCATTCAGCTTGAACCACACAGCTAAATGCCATTTAATCAGGTTTAAAACACCTAAACTTGTTCCAAATAAAAATCTTAAGTTTGTATAAGGCATTTAGACACTTCAGTGAAGACTAGCTCTTTTCTGGTGGTGTAAAAGCAAGCAGTTATGAATTGCAAAGTTTTTAAGCTCCAGTGGTGTTTCTGTAAGGTACTTCTACCCCAGATTTTTTCAACATGTTGACTTTGCCCTTATGACAGTTAGAGCTATCAAAGTAATTCTGACATTGCTTTTTCTTATTTATGATTCATTGAGTTCCCAGAATTAATTGTTTCAAAGTCTTCTCTCTAGGCTTGTATAATTGTCTAACTAGTATATAATTTTCCTCCTAATTATTTTACCTTTTAGCATCCTAATGGAACAAAAATTGGTATAAAATTTCCTGAATCCTATTGAGTTCAATTATGATAGTTTTTCCTTTGTTTCTAAGCTGTTCTTCAGCATAGCTCTGAAAAGGGTGATGGTTTAGCACACCTGAGGGGAAAAGTGATCAAAATCAAATTTTCAGTCACATTTCATTCTCAGGATTTCTTAAGAATTTCTTTGCATTGACTTTGAAAAACTAAAATTAAACTATTCAATCAATGCCACCATATTGAAAAATTCTAGTAATAAATGTTTACTTATTGGTACATCAAAGAAAATAAATACATTTTATGATTTAGGAGAGTAACTACAGTACAATTGGCTTTGTTTTTCCATGGCTCCACAAAATCTGTGGAAATGTTGAAAATTGCTTGCCGTATTGTTTCAGACTATTCACACTTTGCACAGTCTTCTTGACATAAAAGTGCTTGTGTAAATGTTTATAAAAATTATTTCTTTTAAGGGCTAAACTAATTTATATTAAAGAAAAATGTGAATGTACTTTTAATATGACATATAGAAGTCCTGTGGAAGACTCACGGGTCTACTCTGATTAAAGACATTTGTCTTTAGAAAGATGAAAAGAATTATCATCATTCACATACTTATAGACCTAATTTGTGCATTTGATGGCTCTTCCATATTTCTTCATATACTTGTCCTCATAATGTAGAAATTATAATCAAAATGTGTTGCTATTCAAGTGTATTTATATCTTTTTATCTGTCTCACACTTGTGCACGTATGCATGTGCACACGTGGTATAGCTTATTAAGCTACTTAAATAGTTGTATTTATTTCTTAAATGTGTAATCTCCTTTTTATTTTAAGTATTCTCAGCAGTCTTGTATTTACTTTGACCATTTTTTTTGTATCATCATACTCTTACTAACCAGGAATAAAGAAAACATTGTGCCTATAAAAGTAAACATCAAATGAAACTGGTACATGCCATGGCTGTTATTTCTTATAATAAAATTACAGGGATTTATACAGTAACAATTTTGCCAGAGGTAATAAACCATACCTTTAGAAAATTGCAGAAGAAATGAAGAGTCAAAGGTCAAACTGCAATACCTTATCTTTCTTTCTAGTGGAATTAACTGTATCTAACATTTCAGTATCTATTTATTGTTGTCTTCTTGTTTCTTCTTTTTACTTGAGTGGAAAAAGCCAAAGAAAACAAAAAATGCATTTTTGTCCATTTTAAATACAAATCTGGTTTTTTTTTCTGACTAGGAAATCTTTTAAATTAGTTCTCACTTGATCTTGCACTTTCTGACTTGACTCAGCAATACATGCAAGCAAGATTTTTTAAAATTTGATGTCTTACATATTTCCAAGTAAAATCCAGAATGGCTACTCTGCTAAATTGAAATGGGCAAAGATCAATTCATTCACTCATTTCCTTGTTTCTCACCACCTATTCTTTCTTGTTAGCAGTTCAAAAAGCACTTTTAGAAAGTTAGACTCTGGACAGGGTGGGTTGTTAGCATTTGAACCTTGTGTTATCCCAGTGTTCAGCAACTTCTAACTAGATTGAAGCTGTTTAAACAATTCTCTGATATATTATATACTCATTACTGTTATTTTCCATCAACTTTATACTGAATTCTGAAATTGAAAGTGATTGGTACTTAGCAACCACTTAAATGGAATGACTTGGCATTAATAAAACCACATTATTGTTCAACCAGATTATGATTACTTCTGGAAAAATGAATTTATAAGTTAATAAAAACTCCAAATATACCATAATGAAATAAAAATATTTAATTAGTGTTACTTCAGGTGGTTTTTTTCCTTAAAAAGTTTAGATTTGCAGGTGTTCATCCTTATTTAAGCCTGGAGTAAAAAATCAATTTTGAACTTTCCTGCAGAATGGAAAATGATACTTAATTATTATGACAATATTTTTATTAAGTTCTAACAATATTGGCATCTGTACTGTATAAGTAGAAAAATATTCTGGAAAACAGATGGGCAACATAATATTTTAAAGAAACTTTAGTAAACTTCACTTACTGAGTCTATACAAGAATTACACAGAAAGAAGAAAAAACCCACCAAACACTGGGCATAAATACACTTCCACATTTATATATGACAGCCATGATTCATGCCAAGCAAAATAGAGCATAAATAAAGTGTTATGAGTTCAGAATTCTTTTACTCCTCAACTATTAATCTTCACAGTTTTCTGTGCCTCAAGTCAGAATTTAGCATGCATAATTAAGATGACCTAACAAGCCCTGCTGCTTAATTAACATAAAGTTTTCCTTA